GAGAGAGAGAGAGAGAGAGAGAGAGAGAGAGAGAGAGAGAAGAGCCCTTTCACATAAATCAGAAAACCTTTGCAGGTAATCCAAAACGCCCCTGGAGATAATTAGCAGGGGTCCCCTCACCAAGAAAGAGCTAGGCGTTGGGCTTATGATGGAAGTACGAGGCCAACTATATATTGTGTAGATTCGAATTCAGGTCCGTGTCAGCAGTTACGGGTTACTAACTAACTAAGCTTAAGGGCTTTCCTCCACTACTGACCAAATGTGCAAAATTAGAACGAATCTTCTGCTAAAACATGGAACCATCCACTGCCATATGTTTTATCTTTTGTGGAAGTGGTGACTAGTGGAGCCAGGCACTCAGGGGCACAGCATGTAAGAAAAGGAAAACAAAAAGAAGAGAGTGCTACTGTAGTAAGTAGTAGTAACCCATAACTGCTGGAACACAGACCTGAATTTGAATCCAGAGCATGTATTGCTGGCCTGCTCATTTCAAACTCGATATTTGATGAACGTCTCTGCTGAGGAAAGGGACCCTTTCTGATTTACTGCTGGGGCCCCTTTGGAAAAGAGACTCGATATTTGATGAACGTCTCTGCTGAGGAAAGCGACCACCTACCATATGGGCCCAATTTTTTTTTTTTTTCTATGAACATGCAATTTGCGCCAGGGAGGGGCAGCTTTGGCTACCACAGCCCGCCCATTCCGAAATTTTTAATCAACCCTAACTATTAGGGTGTGCCGCATCACGTGTGTGCGCATGTGTTTGTGTGCGCTGTGCGCCACACGTGTGCAACTTGCGCGCACGTGATGCGCTGCAAGTATGGAAAAAACTGTTAGAGTGAGGTGAAGAGAAAAAAGAAAACAACGAACGTCTCTGTCATCCCTCCTGTTGCCGTTTTTTTGCTTCCTCCATCGATCGTGCGCATCCTCGTCTGTCCTCTTCCGGCCTGAATCCTCGTTCCTCTCCATCGTCAGCATCGTCATTCCTTCTTGTCCATCGCCGGCGTCCTCCCTCGTCACCCTGCTCCGTTGTCCTCCCTCATATTCTCCCTCCTCCTCCTTGAATCTTCCCTCTGCCATCCCACTCCTCCAAGCCTCCTCCTTGGCAGTCTCCACCTCGATCTCCTGCTTATCTTCCCCCTTATCCTCCGTCATCTCTCACCTCCACATCAGCAAATAAAAAACGAAGAACATCTTTCCTCCCTCTTCTCCATCGTCTCGTTGTCCTCGTCCTCCTTCCATCTTCCCTCTGCCAACCATCGCCCTCGTCCACTTCCATCATTCATCTCCACCATCATCCTCCATTTTCCTCTTCCGTTCTCCTCCCTCGTCCTCCTCCTTTGTTGTCCTCCCTCCTCCTCCCTCCTCCTCCTCCTTTGCCATCCTCCGTCCTCCTCCCTCTTTATCATCCTTTGCTGTCCTCCGTCCTCCTCCGTCCTCATCCTCCCTCCTCCTCGCTCAATGTTCTCTCCACCATCCATCGTCCTCATCCTCCATCCTGCGCCATTCATCCTTCTCCGTCCGTCGCCCTCCTCCTCGCTTTATCTTCCCTCCGCCGTTCATCATCCTTGTCCTCTTCCCTCCTCCATCCTCCGCCGTTCGTTCTTCTCCATCCGCCGCCCTCCTCCTCCCTCCATCTGTGTCCTCCTCCATTTCCTCCATCGTCACCGTCCTCCCCCTTGTCCTCCTCCCTCTTCCATCTTCTGTCGTTCATCCTTCTCCATCCGTCACCCTCTTTTCCCTCCATCTTCCCGCGGTGTGCATTGTCCTTGTCCTCGTCCATTATCCTCCAGCCTTCATTCTGCTATTGCTCGTCATCCCTCTCGATCTCCTTCCTCGAGCGCGCGCGCGCGAGAGAGAGAGAGGATTAAACGTCGTGCACCCCTGTCAGCGATCCTGCTCCTCCACTTGCACACAACATCCAGAGCTTCTATCCGACGTGGTCTCTGTCCCCCCCCCCCCGGCGCCCCAAGCTTCCAATCCCTACCACCTCTCTCTCCACTTGGGCACAGTGCCAAGCCCAATTGCCCTCAGCCGAAACGCAATACTTGCACGTGCAAGCTTACCTCCCTCTCCACTTCGGCACAGCATCCCGCCCAATCAGCCTCAGCCCTTCACCGAACATGATGCTCACATCCGCACACGCCCCCCCGCCAACAAGCCGATGGCCGTGCCTCGCCCGCCGAGACACGCATGTGCCCACACCCTCTAAACAAAAAAAAAAACGCGTGGTGCTGAAACACGCATGCAGCCCCCCTCCCAACAAAAAAAAAAAAACACAACGACTGCGGTCTCGTCCCGGTCCCGAGTGGAGACATAACTCGGGTCGCATCGCAGGACTCTGGAGCGCGCCTCACGTTCCCCCGCCAGTGATTTTTAGTGGGCCCACCGGGGAATGTCACGCAAGGCATGCTCCAGTTCTTAAGAGCATGCAACGTGTACTAGCTCAGTTGGTACACCCATGAACTGTCGAAAGGCAAACTCAACTTCGAATCCAGAAACTGTGAGATGAAACAGAAAAAAGGGGAGGAGTTCTTTTTTCCTTCCCTTTTCTCTTTTTTCTTTAAATAAAAGAGTGCGACGACCTTTAGACATCATCATTGAACTGACCGGCCGCAGGCAATTTAGAATGAATTTATTCTCTTCATCTGAAGGTATCTGGATTCAAACTTGAGTCTTCATTTCAACAGTTCAGGGGAAAGGGGAGGATTTTTTGAAAAATATCAAACGGAGAACTGCTCGTGTGGAGTCCATCCATCCATCCATCCATGCATCCATGCATCCACTATGCTGCTCTTTCCTTTCACTTTTAAATTTTATTTCTTTCTTTAAAGGTCTTTTTAAACCACTAGTACCTTTGCCACGTGGGAAAATAGCGGGCCTCGGTTGGTCCTCTGACTTTTTCGGAGGCTGAAACGAAGTGACGACCGCCGATCAGATTTATCAATGGCAGTCGTCGTCGGGCCCAACCTCCGAATCTTTAGGAGTTTGGGAAAACTGCCACTTTTCCCTATTTTCCCAACACTGGCGGAGGTTGTTGTTGTTGTTGTTGTTGTTTTTTGTTTTTTTTTAAATACCGTTTCTTGATTTATGCTTTTGTCATTCGTGCGCCGGGGCCGTGGTAATCTTCTCTGTATCATTCCAATTTTAATGGATGTCCTGGAGGACTCTTTTAAACCACCAGTACATGGCCCAGGCAAACTTGAGAATCGAAATCGGCTAATTCTGAAAAGTTTGGAGGCTTGGGGCTTCCTGACCGAAATGGCTTGTGCAAGGAATATGAGTGCGAACGATATACAGAAAACCAAGTTGCGAAATCACACAGATGTCGAGGTAGCCGTATCCAAGCAGAGAGTACAAAGTGCACCGAGAAACCATCCATATAGAGCAATACAATGAAGTAATGAGCCACCCGTAGGCCACACCAACACAGTATCCAAAGTCGCTCCTCTTTGTCTGGCGCCCAGCGACTAGCCGACTCTGCCCGACTATCCTACCTACAACTGGTTCATATCCTACCTACAGCTGGTTCACGCAACAGGCTCACTTCGAGTCTCGAAGACCAATGTACATGACTGTCAACTCCATAGCCGGCCTCTCTTCGTGCACCAGGTACGTATCTCGTCACACACAATCAAACCTTGATTACCCCACACAGCGCCTCCTTCCCTGAAGACCACCAGATCACCCGCTGTACCCCCTGGCGCCCAGCAGCCCGGCTATGGCCACCTGCAGGCCCTGCACCCCGCTGCCCTGAAGCACCCTCAGTCCTCACCTCTACGCGCCCCGTCAGCGCTTTTAGCAGCAGAGCAGCATCAAGCGAGAGCGCAGCAGCACTTCCGCATTGCCAGCACTGGCTGGAATGCCTGGCCTGGGCTGCCTCACTCCTTTTGTGGAAGTGGCAGCCTCCTGGATGCTGCGTGTGGCCTGGCTGGACGCTTCCAGTAGCTTCCGGTTGGGCCTCAGACCCTGCGCCCAGGCCCGAGCCTACAGTTGAGGGCCTGGGCCCTTTTCAGTTGGGCACGGCCTGAGTCTTCGGACTTGGGCTGTTTGCTGCATCTGTGCAGGGCTCCCAGGCAGATGTGTTGGCGGTACTTCTTTTGCAAAAAGGCCGATGGCCTGATTCCCAATGTATCGGCCCTGCTTTGTGTGTATGTGCCCAGGCGCAACTGTCAAGACCTGGGCCAACTGCATGACGCAGCTAATGTGAGGCTCACGCGTCTACCCAACCAACTGGCGTGCTGCGAGAGCCTGAATACCCACAGATGGAAATGTCGAATTTTTGCCTCTGATGAATATTCAGGCCCGCCTTCACTTAGGGCGGGCACTTGGCTTGCTGGGGGCCTTAGCCCAGATCATGTGATGTCTGATAGGGCCCCTTGAGGGCTTGTTCCTCACACTTGTGGTGCCAGCCAATAAAAAGGAAAAAAAAAGGCACCACACTGGCATTTTTTTCTGCAATGCTCGGCACGTAGGGGGGATCCACCTTGGTAAAAAGGGGCTCAGATGCACTGGTAGTTTAACAGTTTAACTCCTTTTTCTAATTAATTATCAAACAAGCTGGCATCTGCACGTGTCGAGCCCATCCATCCTTCCATCCACTACGTCAGCTCTTTTGGGAACCCAACCCACCCTTTCTTTTCTTGAAATTATTGAAGGCCCATCCACTCGGTCTGCTCTACCAAGTTCTTTTCCATTCTTTTGTCCAAATTATTCCTTTCTTTAGTTGAAATTATTGAAGGTCCATCCACTCGGTCTGCTCTACCTGCAGCTGTTCATCCTTATCATTCGTCAATCGCCTGTGGTATGCTGACACGAGATCATGCCTTTCTTCCTCTGGGATGAAGTCCCTGAAATCTTCCCAAACTGCTCCATGTCATTCATGCAAAGCGTCATCAAGTCGAACACCCGACAGTCCACAGTCCACAGCCCACAGTGATTAAATGTTAGACATTGAGAGTTCAAAATTTTTGCATAAATGAATAGTTGAAAACCAAATGAGGGATGAGGGGCTTCACAGGGATGAGAGGATCTCATGCGTATCTGACAGGACCCTATAGTTAAATTACACCTCTCTTGGTATTTTATTTATTTTTGTTGTTTGGATTGTTGTTGTCATTCTCTGGTCCAAATGACTTGCCGCTCTGGCCAGGGGTTCTATGCTTTCTTCTCGTGCTTTATTTGTTTCTTCATTTGAATTATCTCGATGCCCGTTTTGACTACTTCACAGAAAAGAGAGAGAGAGAGAGAGGAGGGGGGAAGAGAATGCTTCTTTTGATAGAGTCAGGAAGGGGAAGAGGAGTGTTCCTCTGAAAGTAAAGAAAGAGAGCACCGCTCTTGAGAGACCTACTTACCCCCAATCCTCCACTATGGCACTAAGTGCAGCGCAATGGAAAGTCTAAATGGATGCCGCCAATGAAGCGGACAAGGCACAATTTCAAATTTCCTCTGAAAGGGCGGTACAGAAGGAGAAGGAAGAGGAGGAGGGCAGAAAATAAGCTGCCCTTGTGGCCCAAGAGGCCATCTTTAAGACTGTCCCTGCACTGACTAATGAGCGAATTGCAGAAAAGACAGCCTCACTCCTTCGGGCCTTAGTTCATGTCCGGTCTCTTGAAGACTATTCGGGACAGATCTCTCAGCTATTTGCTGAATTCAAAATGCTGCGGGACGATATGGCCAAAATGGCAGAGGAGCACCCTGACCAGCTGCAGAAGTTTGCACATCTGCAGCCGGCCCAAGTCGCTAACCCCCTTTCTTCACCCCCTAATCCTAATGTGTATGCTACTATGCTGTGCATTCCCTCAAAAGCCTCCTTTTACTCTTCTACGTCCTCAAGTCTGATGATAAGCTAGGCTGGAACTGCAGTAGGTGCAGATTCTAGGACCGCTGCAGCAACAGTAAATTCTGCAATTGCTGCAGCCCCAAGTCGTAGCTACAGCAGTCCCCTTGGACAAGAAGGCGGTACAGATTCCACCTCGGTACGGCGGGAAAGAAGATGTCACCTCTTGGATTGCCTCAACGAGGCCCTTCTTTGAGGTGCTACGGGCACCACAGGCCACTCAAGCGTTGATCCTAGGCAACCAAGTGGAGTCCCATGTACCGAGTTTCTTAGAACTCCAGGCTGCAGAGGCAGAAGATACAAGGCTAGACCTGGCCAAATCGCTGAAGGCCACTCCGGTGGCTGAACTTGAGAAAATCCTCCTCAAACAGTATGATGATCCACATGCTGCCCTCAAAGCTAGAAGAAAAATTAACAATATGAGGAACAAGCAGTGGATTGGCACTATGCAGGCCTTGGAACAAGAATTTGTTAGACTCTTCTCTACACCTGGCCTGGAGATGAGCAGCACTTCCTTTTTTTTTTTTTTTTTTTTTTTTTTTCCCAGAATCTCAAGGTTCTGGCGCCTGCCATTCTGGGGAGCGACAGTCCGGTTCCTATTCCCCCGGCAAGTCAATATGGAATACAGAAAAGACTCACACACGCTCCTCCCCATTATGGCTGAGAGGCCCGAGCAGGCGGCATTGATTACTTCCGTGAGGAAGGATGTACCACCTCTCACCCCTACCTAATCTAGCCTGCATTTACTCAGCCTACCAATCTGTGTGATCCCAGATCTGCTCCTCTCAGCCATAAAGYTGTCGGGTATMTATGATTATACAAGAGMCTTCTGGTACACTTGTACACCTTTTGATGTCTCTTTAGCTGTATACCAGCATTAGCATTGTCCTGTTGCTTTTTACTTGCCAAACAACAAGTTAGCACTGCTTCTCYTTTKTCTAYCCTGAATCCAACTTTTGTGCAACCTTTTGTCGTACTCTGTTTATTTGCTGCCTAACTGCCCTTCCTTTGTTCCTAAACCTTCCTTATTTTCTACGTCAGACCCTTTGTGTCCCCTAGACCCTAGACCCACTTCCCTTATGCGACCCCTAATCCCTAAAGCCTTTTTTCTACTGTATCCGTCCTGTTCCCTTTGCATCACCCTTTAGCCCTTAACCCTATCCATCACTGCCCCTCCTGTTTCCCCATCTATATCCCTTAAACCCTAAACCCTACCTTCCACTGTTTAGTTAGCGTTCCCCTTTTCTTCCTTCCCTATAATTCTATGGTCAGCACCCTCCCTCTCTCCACTTGAAGATCAAATGTGCTCCTTGGATTGATGGTACCGCTCCGTCACCGAGTACCTTTTGCTTAAATCTTTTCAATATTTCGTCCTCTTGTTCCGGCTGTTGGCGTACCTGGTTCCTTACTGCCTTCTACAGGGCCTTAAGGTGTGTCTCGATGAGGGATAAGAAAATTTCCTTAGCTTCATGTCCATGCATTATTGTGCCCTCTATCGTGATTTGGCATCGACGCTTCCAAACGGTCCATAGGGTGTATTGTCTTGTTAGCTGGAACATATGTTTCTGAAAAGGTTGCCATTGCTCGGGAACTGGCGAACCCAGCAATAAGGAAATCCTTGAGTCTGGAAACGCTATGTCTGTTACTTGTCTCCATGTGTCTTTGGCCACCTCCCAGATTCATTGTGCTTCTTCACAGTCAATCAGACAATGTTGCATTGTTTCAGGAATTCGTCTCTGGCAAACCTTGCACCACTCCTGTTCGTCACTTCGATGAGCAGCACTTCCTGTTTGAATGTTGTTCGTGATTCCGTCCCCAAAATATTATTGACAGCTAGGACTCCAGCAGTACACATATTGGTGAACCCTCATGAACGATGTGGTCCAGTTAGAGGTTGTAGACCTTGCACGCACACAGGGAGGTGTGTGTGTGTGACCCACCAGGGTACTTGTGCGCTGCGAAGACCCTCGGGCCTGGTACTTACCTGTGACCATGCTTTGTGGGGTTGCAGCATGGAACCTAGAAGTAGGCTAGGCCTGCATGGGAAGGAAAACACTAAAGTAGCGGGTAGGTAGGCAGAAGAAGACAAAAAGTTATACCTTTAGAAAAACATAGGGGCTAACCCCCTTTTGGAAAAGCAAACAAAGAGAAAAGGTCTTCAGACTCTTCACATGCGTATGTAAAGAAAAGGGAGGAAGAGTCTCAAGCATCTCCCGGGAGGTTGCGCTGAAGAAACACAAAACCAGTGTAAGGAAGCTGGAGGACACACAAATCAAAAGCAAGGGTTGGTTGTGGAAAAGCTGTCGAAAAAGGGAGGAAAAAGAGAATCAGGGCCTGCTCCCTGCTCCCTGCCCCTAATATCACTGGTCCTCTGCAGAAGTCCACATGCTCTCTGTTATATGCTCTTCAATGAGGGAAAATGATACTTCGCCGTATCTTTTCTTTTTTTTTTCCAACAAACTCCTTTCATCTCCAGGAAAGAATTCAAGAGTTCAAGGCGTCGCGACGAGCTGTTCTGAGGCTCAGATGGCCCGGGGCACTCTCAATCTTACCCGAGAGCATTGATTTGCTCTCCAAAGGACAGGAATGAGTATCGAGTCATACCCTCAGTGCTGCGCTGTGAGAAAATAGTCATTCCCCGAGTGTGAGCTTGCTTATCTGAGTCAACCTTAGCTAGCCAATCATTACCATTCCAAGCTCTGCTGAAAATTGAAATCCTGCAAGTACTGGTCCCTAGTCACAGCATCCCGTACCCTTTCCTATACTCAGCCCCTATGATTTCTCTGAGTAAGTTTTTGGTTTCTCTTTTCAGTCCTTGGTCAGGAACTCTCTCTTTCTGAAATCTGATCCTGTTTCTGTTCACCCACAGTACGCAGAATAAGACTGCTCTATGGTCTTCACCCGAATGGAACGTACTGTCATTTTCGCTGCATCAGGACTCAGGAGTGAATGTTGGGCCAAATGCGGATATAATGACCGTACGTTCTATTCAGGGCATGACGGTAGGACCAAGTGATCTGATCCCTGTTCCTCCTTCGTACTGTGCCACCAAGTGGTAAGGACTTCTCACCACTGTGGATCACATTCCTTGGAAGATCAGGAGAAAACAAAATGTGGTAAAAGAAAACTCGCGGACACGAGACGGAAAGCAGGACACGCAGCCCATCCGACTGTGAGCAGTACGCAGTGCCATACACCCGCAATCGCTACAAGTTTGAACCCTGAGAAAATCGGATGCATAGAATAATATTAGGGCCTGCGGCCCTGCACCCTTTTCAAAAAAAAGATAAGGGTAGAAAGCAGGCTTTGGTTGTCAGCACAAGTGAAGGAAAAGGAAAGGAAGATGTGAAGCAGGGCCAGGTACCAAATCACGAGCCCATGATACATCATCCCTCTGCAGTCCCCAAGCTAACCTCCTGCAGACCCTTCATAGCACATACGTATCAGGCTCCTTGTGTCTGTCACAAGGGGAACAACAGTCCCACTGTGTGTACTATACACCAGTACATTCCGTGGTGTGTCTAGCCGTAAATGATCTGCGTCTGTAACATGGTATTCACAAAGGGCGGATGGGAATGAGAAGGACCATCTGGAAAGAAGACTCAGATCGGATCATGGAGTAATACCCAGAGGAACAATTGACAATGGAGGGACCTGATGCAGGAAATGGGGTTGTGGAACTCTTCTGGAGAAGGCTAATCGTAACAAACAGACCTGCTCAAGTTCATATGGCACACAAATTCAGTAACCGTGGTGCGATTTGGAAAGACTCTCTAACAAGATTTCGGACCTTGAAAAACTTGGTGGCCCTCACTTTCTAAGCAGTCGTTACCAACCCTCAGGGAGCTTCGGCTCCTAGGCTAGCCATCTGAGATCTTCTTCGAAGGTCTAAGAAGGGTAGCGGGGAGGGACAGGGGTGTTTGTAGCGAAATGCACGCGCGATTGCAGGATCGGTACCTGAGGTAAGGAGGGTATGGACTCCTCTGGGTCCTGTCGTGCCATGATGGCGGGTGTGGGATCGCGTGAC